GTTATTTGATATATCATACCTTGTCTTTCTTTTAATACCAATATATGTTTGTGTAGGAGACACATTGGGGTTTATAACTCATTCTTTTAATTTCTGTCTTTTTAGTTCCCTTTTATCTTTAAGATTCTATTTGGTATTTCGAGGATAGACTGGTAACATGTTTTTTTTATCTAGTCATTGTATGGACATTTTTAGACTATATTATATTTTTACTTGTTTTGGATTTTAATATCGGATTATGTTATATTTTATGAACTCTTATTTTGTTAGCGAATTTACACCAGTATTTTGACAACACATGCTTTAATCTAAAATTTTCATAATATTTGTTAATTCAAATTATTGTGATCTCTGAGATTCGGTTGTACATCTAGGCCGGGTAGAATTCCATCAAGTCCTCCATTGTGATTTTAATGTAATATATCAAAAGTCTTTCTCAACTCTAGTTCACAAGTTGATTTCTCGCAAATGATCCTAGCTCACAAAAGCTTCTAGGCTGATGTAGCATTCGTCGCCTCGATCCACCTCGCTCAACGTGAACAAAATCTCTTATTAGCTCGATGGTTGGTTGGCAAACTTGCACAGAAAAGCCTCACGCTTATTTCTCGTGTAAATTTATCGTTATCTTTATCTACTATTTTTAAAGCTTGACAAAGTTCTAGATAAAAATTAGCGAGAAAATCTAACCATGCATTCGATGTTTCAAGCAAAACGTTAGTGGGTGTTCCGGTACCAGTGATAGGCAATGAAGCTTGTGAACTTAAGAGAGATTCCAACAAGGTGAGTGAGTGCATTTATGTGTTGTATATGTTGTATGTTTAGTTGTTTTAAGGTTCGAGATTAACCATCTACTCTGTGATAAATTATTGTCAAGCAAACAAAGTATGAATTAGTCAAATGCAAGGTATATTGATATGTCATGATAATTGTTTATATGTTTATATGAAGATTTTCATGATTGAATATTTATATGAGTATTTTGGTTTCACACTACTTTGGATCAACTCAGTGATTGAGTTGATAATCGGTTGGTGAAACAAATTAGTTATGAACTGCTAATAAATAGAGAACAAAAACATAAAAAAAATTAGATTTTTATATATTATTTTTAAAAATTAATCTTTTTGATTAGGTCTTAGATCATATCCGTCTTTGTTTTGGTGTGTGTATATATATATTTTAAATAAAAATCTTAAATTATTATTATTGATGTGCAAATAGGGGGTGAGATTGATAACATTCTATTGAAGTTTACATGTTCTAATTTAAGTGGAGGATCATCGGCACAAATCCCCTTTAAAAAAAAATGGAGAATCATCAGGGTAAAAATTGAGAACATTAATCAAAGATAGTTTACTTCTTTTGATTTCTTTTGATTTGATTTGAGAGAAGATCAGTTGGATAATGATGGTCAAAAAACTAAGGCAAGTAATTACATAAAATTTTACAATAGATCTGGACAATAATTCTAAAACATCAATATATGATAATAATTCACTTCTGACTAGAAAGAGTGAACAGTCAATTGTTGACATTTTTAAATTCACCTTCAATGATAATTTCACTGAAATATTAATAGTAATTTTCCTTATCATTAAATCATGTAAATATATTTATATAAAATACTTAGAGAAAAGAAAATAAAGTGCATATAATCGATATTAATATAGAACAAACACGTATATTAATAATAAAAGTAGGTAAAAGATAGTATCATATAGTCGCATAAAGCGACCTAGTACACAACGAACAACGTTACATAACTGAGATTACTTTCACTAAAAGTACTATCCCTATGGATTTTTAACATCCATTTTTATTCTGTAGCTTTCATGAGCTGAGGAACTTCCATGGCCAACTTTCACTTGACGCTGCAAATGATACAACAAAAATAAAACATTCATCAGTTAAGAAATTGATAACCATAACCGAAGAACTCAGTGAGTATTTTAAAAGAAATTAGAGGCACTGGAACCTTTTGCAGTCGGTGCTGGGGCTGATCTGGTAAGGGATGCTGACACCGCACTTGCCTGGGAGTCCACTTGCAAGGTTTAAGTTGATTCCAGTGATGGTGGCAGCCGCACTTTTGAGGCAGTTGCAAGCTGCTTGGCGGTCTGGTGCTGTTTGGGCTTCGCCGTTGAGGGTTTTGATCCCACTGCAGCATGCTGGAGGAACAGCACCACCGCCTGGACCCTTCAAGTAAGGAATGCAGGGCGCCAGTTTGGATGTGACTTCACCACAATTTATGGCTCCTTGAGCCAGGGGTGCACCCAACACAGCCAAGCATAACACCACCACACATGCAAGCTTAAGGGACATAAGAGAGCTAGCCATTTTGATTGATTACAACACAAAAAGAAACGATCTTATACAACTTGTACGGAAAGTGCTTAGTGAGTGCTAATGCTGATTGTTGTGTAGTTTCTGGTTAGTGCTCGAGGGTTTTTATAGCTGGGAGAAGGGTTGCGAAAAGAAACTGAGCATTAGGACACCGTTGGGCGTTGGTGGTTGGCTCAATTCAATGCGAGGGTTATTGATCCAAAATTTACAAATATTTGTATCCACATGATCACTTACCACCTGGATTGTGGTTATGGATCTAAATAGGAATGGCAACGGGGTGGGTTTTGCTCCTCCGTCCTCGAAATGAATCTCTGTCCCTGTTTTTATTGAGTTTTTTATCAGGGCGTCCCGTCGGGGATTTTTTTTACCCCGTCCTCGACCCAAAATGTTGTACCCGATCCCGAGAAAAACCGAGCAGCCTTAGTTTTCATAAAAAATAGAAAAACGATCACAAAAAACTGGACAATAGTCTACATGATTTACAATTCAAACTACCGTCACAAATTCAAACTCAATTCTAAATAATTGTCTAAACTCCAAAATAAAACGCATACATAATTAAATACAAACTTGTTCCGATATTCAAATCATACAACGAAGAATCGAAGACTGAAGCAGTGAAGCTTACCTGCCTGCTGCTGTGTAGGAATAGCAAATACAAAGGGAAAAGTGGGAACTGGGAAACCTAGATTAAATGTTTTGTTTGTATTATAAATAATTAATATAAAAAATATAAAATACTATATATATATATATATATATATATATATATATATATATATATATATATAATCGGGGTAGAACGGGGCAAGGTATCCTTGCCCCGAACCCGAAAAATCATCGAATTTTACTTTGATACCTGACCCGATTCGATATTATTCAAACCCGACCTAAACTTAGCAGGGTTCGAGTTTCCCTGTCAGGTTCGGGTTGTTCTGTCATTCCTAAATCTAAACACCCACATTAAGACCGCACGAGGAGATAAAGTAAAAGAAAGTATTTAATAAAACTTTGTGGAAGTTTTCAAATCACACCGAATAAATCATGTGTGTTCCCATTCGATTATTTCTTCTTTCTTTCTTTCTTTTACTGTTTTGAGCAATGGTTGACATGTGGGGTATTTAACAATATCTTCAATTTATTAATAAAAAAACAATATCTTCAATTTAGGGTTAAGAAACCACTGAACTCTTTCATTTAGTGACCAAATTGACAATTTTTTTATTTAATGGTCAAGATATAATTAATTTTATAATTTAATGATTAAATTGATAATTTACTCAAATGAAAAAAAATAATCTAACCTAACTATAAATGCAATCCCGTTATAGAGGTTGAGGAGTTCATTTGTTGGGACACGTTTACAATACCATTAAAACCAATCTGAGGTTAGTTGAGGTCTGGAATGTTCGTTAATTGGGACACATTATTTTAGGTTAATTTGTTTAGTTAAAAATGAATTTATTAAGCTCGCAACAGTTATTTTAATATAAATATTTTTTATAAATTTTAATACATTTATTTTTATTTTTATAATTTTTAATATTTTATCATTTTTAAATAATTTTTGACAAGTTCAATAAAATCAAAGTATATTCGATAAAATTGATCTCAAAATTTATCTAATTATTTAATCTCATAATCAAAGACTTCAAATGTCTGATATCTCTTAGAAAATCGTGACCTCTAGACACGATTTTTAATAAATTTATGTGATTTATCATAATTAAATCTACCATCAATCTTAATATCTATTAAACATGTCAACCTAAGAGTAGCTATAATGATCTTTCGCTTAACATAAACACTAAGGGTCATTGTAAAACATCTCGACCAAAAGTGAGTTAGGAGAGAAAGCACCAAATATCCTACTCCCACTCTTCTTCCTCATGAAGACAAAGGATCTTTGTTATTGACCAATGATCACTTAATTAGCGATTGTGACTTTCTACCCAAATTAAAATGGATAAATTTCATAAATAATCAATACAATCCACAATATACTTAGGGTGGTCACGTACTCATCCTGAAGTTTGAACTTTCTTTAGTTATATATTTTACTGACGATGCTTATATTAAAATTTTATTTATGCCCACCTCATATAAAAGTTTTATGTTATTAACGAATAAGTGTCTACCCTCTCACTGCTCGAAATTTATCCTATATTTAATCCCGTAATCAAAGAAAATAAACACTTTGAGATTAAATGTCGAAAACAAGTAGATTAGTTTTAAAAGAACGGTCATATTTATGTGAAGACAGGTAGAAAAGATTAAACTAATATTTCAGTCCTTGGGCATGATTTTAATTAAATTGAAAGAAAACATCAATCAAGCAGGAAGTGGGTGACGGTTGCCCATAACTGATTGGAAAAGCACTTTATCTCCTAATGCGGTCTTAAAGGGAGTTTAGATCAATAACCACAATCCACATGGTAAATGATAATGTGGATTCAAATATTTGTTGTTGCATTGAATTGAGCCAACCACCAACTCCCAACGCTTCGTGTTCATACGTATTTCTCAGTTTCTTTCCGTAGGCTACAAAAAACCCTCGAGCGCTAACCAGTAGCCACACAACAATCAACAATCAGCATTAGCACTCACTAAGCACTTTCCTTACAAGTTGTGTAAGATCGTTTGTTTTTTGTTGTAATCAATCTAGCTATCTTATGTCCCTTAAGTTTGCATGTGTGGTGGTGTTGTGCTTGGCCGTGGTGGGTGCACCCCTGGCTCAAGGAGCCATAAATTGTGGTGAAGTCACATCCAAACTGGCACCCTGCATTCCTTACTTGAAGGGTCCAGGCGGTGGTGCTGTTCCTCCAGCATGCTGCAGTGGGATCAAAACCCTCAACGGCGAAGCCCAAACAACACCAGACCGCCAAGCAGCTTGCAACTGCCTCAAAAGCGCGGCTGCCACCATCACTGGCATCAACTTAAACCTTGCAAGTGGACTCCCAGGCAAGTGCGGTGTCAGCATCCCTTACCAGATCAGCCCCAGCACTGACTGCAAAAGGTTCTTATGCCTCTAATTTCTTTTATAATACTCAATGAGTTCTTCGGTTACGGTTATCAATTTCTTAACTGATGAATGTTTTATTTTTGTTGTCCCATTTGCAGCGTCAAGTGAAAGTTTGGTCATGGAAATTCCTCAGCTAATGAAAGCTACAGAATAAAAGTGGATGTTAAAAGTCGATAGGGATAGCACCCTTAGTGGAAGTAATCTCAGTTATTCATGTAACGTTGTTCGTTGTGTACTAGGTCGCTTTATGCGACTATATAATATTATATTTTACCAACTTTTAATACATCTGTTTCTTCTATATTGATATTATCTATATACGCTTTATTTTCTTTGCTTCAAATATTTTATATAAATATGCTTACATGATCTAATGATAACGAAAACATCTACTTTTTTAATTGAGTCAAAAATAACTACTGAATACTGTTTGGATAATACTTTGTAGATCTTGGAGAAACAGATTCCATTTCTTAATCAACACAAATTGAAGTGCGCAGTTACAAAATTAGTGGGAAACCACTCACTATTCTGACAGCCCCGAAGAGAGAGTTACATGAGAATTTTTCCTGACAAAATTAAAGAAGTATATCCATCATGATTATTCAACTTGAAAGGAGAAAGAAGTTCTCACACCTGAAGACATTGCTGATTACATCAAGACAGAGGGTGATAAGTGATGTACGTTCGTGGATGGTATGAATAATTAAAAAATATGGTCTAAAATTTTAATACTTAATTCTAAAATATTTAGGTATGTAAATTTTCTTATTTTTTTTCTATTCTCATTAGTAAACTAAACTAAATTTAACAATTTCTCAAAATAATAGGGTGCAATGACTCCCCTACCCAATCATGTACATCCAGAGTAGGGATGGCAAACGAGTATAATTTCGTGGATTTCGCCCCGCACCCGCTCCAATTGGGGCGGGGATGTGTTTAATTTTAGTGGATAGTGGATGAGTGTAGATTTAGAAAATGATATCCGTCGCGGGTAATGGGTTTGAGACCTTACCCACCCCGCATCCGCCCGCCCAGCTAAATATCCATTAAATTTTGGACCATTATGAATTTAGGTGTAATTTTAGAGATTAATTTATAAACCCGAATATTGTATAAGATATAAGTTGTTATTTAACCAAATATTAGGGATAAGTTAAGTTTGTGCATAATTTTTTTTCCTTTCAAACCTCTCATTAGTCATTACTGTGCCGATCTTTCAAGTTTCAAACCTCTGGTCTCCACTCTCCAGCTCAGGTATGTTTCTTCCCTTTTTACTTGAAATTTAATTTTTGTAAGAGCCATTATTGGCATCTTCAAAGGCAACCCTTCTCTGGGTTCTACGTATTTCTCAGTTTTATAGGCACCCCTTTGATAATTTTATCTTTATCTATTTTGGGGTTTTCGAGTTTTAACTCATACTAAGCTTTACTTTTTTGTTCATACCTGAGCCTCACAAAAAATTCAGAAATGCAAGGCGATGAAGCCAGGCTCTTGTTAGGCTTCCCCCGAATTCTCGCCCTACTCCTCTGGTTTTTATTTTACTATTAAATCTTTATGTACTTTAGGGTTTTTTAATATCTTTTTTGGTTTTGTTGACGTTTATGAATTCGAGTTGTTTTCCTTTTGGAGGTTGTGGCCTTGATTTCTTTCTTTCAATCAGCTAGTCTAACAAATTTCCTTAATCTTTTCTCTTTTCCTTTATGAAATTGTAAATTGATTAACTTCTTTTATGAATTTTGATTTGGAATTTAGATTAAAGGAGCTTATAGAAAGAAAGTATGGGAGTCGCATCCTGACTTGTTTCCAGTTCACCAAAAGCCTTCGGCGGAGTCTAAGTTCAAGTTGGTAAGCATCCATATTCCTTCAAACATTTCACCTCTTTTTAGTATATTAGTGTTGTGTTTGGTAGAGAACCGTGAAGAAACTGGATTGCTTAGGGGTATGTATTGTATTTTGGTGGAGTCTTTCTTGATTTTTTTTTCTATTAAGATTATTTGGATGGAGGGAGTTGGATTGCTTAGGGGTATGTATTATATTTTGGTTATATTCATGGTGATTTAGAGTGGTATGATCTGGTGAGTAATTTAAATCTATTTGTATTTTATTTTCTTTCTTGAGTTTTTTGAATTTATACAACTGTTGAACCTGTTAAGTCTAACTGTGGATTTGGGAGAGAAACTGAATTTTACCTGATAAAGGCTAGGTTTAGTCTTTCTATTCACTTTCAAAGAAATCCATCATTGTAGACTGGAGTTTTAGGTCGTTTACTATCTAAATTATGGTACTTCTTCTGGAGGTTTTATTCTGGACGAGAGCCAACATACTGGAAAACAAGTAACGAATGCAGTAAGAACATTAAGTCTTTCCACTTAGTTTAGTTTGCCTATCACACCTGAACCTTAATTTTTCTTCTTCTTCTGGGAACACTTGAATGAGATAATAGTTGGGTATTTTTAATCATGTATTATGCAATTTAGAAATAATTCAATTGTGTTTGTCATTTATGTTTCTAGACTTTAATTATGTCTTTTATTATGGTGTTTTATGTACTTTAAGATATATATTAACACTTAACTTAGATAATCATTGGTTTATTTTATTATGTTTCTTAATGGACGTGTTTGTTTTATATTTGTTGCTTATGTATAACTTAAGTTTGCTGTCAGGTGGGTCTAGCCGGGTACGTCTCTAGTTGAGTAGTGGGTGTGGGGATGGATTTGAGAATGTACCCGCGTGGGCGGGTGTGGATTTGAAAATTTTTACCCATCATGGGTGGTGGGCGGATGGTAGATTGAAAAATATTAGGTAGGTATGGGGATAGGGGAGGGGGTATCCGCACCCGACCCGCCCATTTGTCATCCCTAATCCATAGGAGCCATTGCACACTCGCCCCTAGCTACTGAGTCAACTCAGTGAACGAGGTAAGCGGTAGCATGTGATTCTCGTCAATCTGATAAGAGAGTTCATGAATCTTCTCATCTACCTCTGGTTAGTAATAATGTTATAGGCCTATTGTATAGACATAATGTTTTGATTATTGAATTTATTATTATCGCAATTTGCGTGCAACGTGCTTATTATACATTAATAGGGTAAATTCCGTATTTAATATCTAAATTATTAGTTTTGGTCCCAAGTACCTAAACTTTTAATTTTTTTCTTTAAAACTTAACGTTAAATTTTGAACAGGGTACTAAAATGAAATAAAAAACTAACTTTAGGTATCATTTTAAAAAATTGAAAGTTTAGGTATTAAAATAGACCTAAATTGATAGTTAGGTACTAAAAGCATAATTTACCCATACTAATATCATTGAATAATATTATTGATTATTATAAATATCCCTAATCGATTAGGGTAAACTACACAAATGATCATTAAAGTTTGAGTAAATTTTTGTTTTACCTACTGAAGTTTTAAAAGTAAAAAATTAGTCACTAATGTTATTGATTTATAACAAATTGATCAATCGCCGTTAACAACCGCTAACGGTGACGGAGTGCTAATATGGCACGTTACATACACTTTGACCACTTTTTGACTCAAAAAATTTGTTTTTATAACAAGCCCCCATTTCTTTTTTTCTACCTAATTTCCATCTTCTTGCCTTTCATCTTCTTCCTTATAAGAAACATCATCAATATATCTATAAAAAGATATCCCGACAGTACGACTATCTCCCAACCAAGTATGTGACCAACACCATCAAGAGTAAGAATCAAACAATTTGAATGCCAAGTGGGGGGTGTTTCCTTTTTGCACTCCTTGAAACATTGCTCTCACTTATTCATTCTCCATGGTTATATTTTAGGCATGTTTTATTGTTGGGATTGTACAATTGAGTTTGCAATATGTATGTATGTATGTAGAAGAGAAGGAAAATATAAAACACAAGGACTGTTTGAGTATGCTTTATACTGAACACAAGGATTGAGCTTTAGGACCCATTCTTCAACTAGCTTTTTTGTTGCTGGTTTCATGAAGTAGAGGAGTGAATGTTCTTGTCTGGGTGTAGAAGAGAAGAAATCATGGTGATTTCATGACGTTAGAGTGACCGAGTTCATTATTTGATCGCTCGAATTCATTTTTTGACATTCAATATGAACATGTGCACAGAGAAAAGAATGCCTGAATTCATCTTTTGACATTTTTCCTTGGAACAAACACAAAAAACTACAGTATATCTTAAACTGAACTCTTTCTTCGGCATTTAATCGCTTTTATTTATGTAGGTGTCTGCAACCATTCATTCCACTTTCACTGCATCAGCCGATGGTTGAAGACCCGTCAAGTATGTCCTTTGGGTATGCTTTGCCTCCCATGTTTATGCCGCTCGGATATTTTGCAGAAAATAGCGAGGGAGTTCCAAAAGTATGGTCACTAGTCCTTGCCTACTTACCTTTTGTTTGAAAAGAATGAATTTAATTGATTGATTTAATATTTATATTAAATTCATAGTTATTTTAATTATTGTAAATTAAAAGATGATTTTTTATTTAAATATTAGTAGGATAATTATTCTTTTAATAAGTCAAGTTAAAATGATATTTGTTCTCTTTTTAATTTTGAATATTAAAAAATAATTATATAATTTTGTATATTTTAAATTAAAATAATATTTGTTTAAGTTTGAATAATAAAAGGAATTTATCTTTTGACCATTACAAATTAAATATATTATTTAATTTGAATATTAGTAGGATAATTAATGTTTGAATATGTCAATTTAAAAAGATATTTGTTAAATTTTTAACTTTGAATATTAAAATAATTATATAATTTTGTATATTTCAAATTAAAATGATATATATTTAAGTTTGAATGGTAAAATGAGTTTTATATTTTAAATATTTCAAATTAAAAGATATTATTATCTGTTTAAAGTTGAATATTAAAATATATTTGGTTGGAATAAATATTTCTTGAAAATCTCTATAAATAGTTAGCAAACAACAGTTTTTCACATCTCGGATTTGAAGAATTTTCTTCTCTTGAAAAAATATTTTCTCCCCTTAAAAATATTATTTTCTTCCTAGTTTTTCGACAAGAGTCAAAGGCAATGTTCGTTCGTGATCTATGTAGATGTGCTGCTGCAATTGATCATAAGTTGTTGTATACTGTGAGACAAATGACCAACGAATTTGAGCATCAAAGAGTGGCCGAAAATCTGTCTTAAGTAAATTGTGTAGCGACAGACTTCAATTGATTCCGATCTCAACTGATCAAAATAAAAATGAGTATTTTTCTTTCTATTTAATTTTGATTTATTTTATCAAGTTTAACTTTCTTGTTTGATTTTCTCAGGTTTGATTTCGTCTTAGATTGTTACTTTGGTCAACACCTTTCCTGTTGCGAAAGAAGAGTGCTCTTATTTCTTCATCTTTCTGTCGATTCTTGTAATTTTTATTAGGACAAACGTTTGGCTGTATTAAATATAATCGGAATTTGATATGCACCCTGTGCAGTATGCTAAATTTTGAACGAGAATTATTCCTTCTTGCGTTGATCCCTCCCTTTCATGTTCATTCATGATGACATCCTTTGTGTACAGATTGTATCATCACTCTATAGTATTTTGATCAAAGATTGTTGACTACTCTTTAAGGTTCGTGCACAATTAGGGAGAAAATAATCCCAGCAAAACAACAATGTTAATAAAGATTCAAATTGTTTGCTTCTTTCATTTGATGGTGTTGGTCACATACTCGGCTGGGAGATAGTGGTATTGCTGGTATATGTTTTTATAGATATATTGATGAGTTTTCTTGCATGGAAGAAGAAGGACAATAACATGGAAAGGTGGAAAAAGAAAATGGGGGGTTTGTTATAAAAAAGTCAAAGTGGTTGTAACGTGCCACATCAACATTTTATCACCCATGTTAATGACTGTTAACGGTGAGTGACAAATTTTTTATAAATCGATGACGTTAGTGATCTATTTGTTACTTTTAAAACTTCAGTGGGGGAAAACGAAATTTATTCAAACTTTAGTGACCATGAATATGTGATAAGATACAAATAAAATTCATATGAATTTGTTGAGTACAAATATTGGATCAGCTCGTTTTTAGATTAATATATGAATCAATATCATATATTAATCTTCTGCAGTTATATAGCATAGATGTGAAATTATTATAGTTCTCAACTTAATGATTTTTATGTTTTGACATAATCAAATATTATCTTTAATCAGACAAATGTTATGTTTGAACATGACAAGAATTGTATAAATGAAAAAAAATTATGATACTAACGGCATAAAAATTGTCTCGAGTCGTGAGTTTAAAAACAAAAACAGTAAATTAAAATTCTTTAACCTTATTTGATTTTAGCTGATAACATCACATGATTTACTGTCCGTCTATAAATTTGTACACCTACAATAACTCCTTATTTATTTTTGTTTTTAACATTCAACACAAACGAAAAAGAAAAACCTGAATCCGATAGGGTGGCTGAAAATCGACCAACACTACACCAATTCACCAATCATCAACAACACTACACCATTCATCAAGCCAACTTCAAATAATTATACCTGATAAATGATAGGGAAATTAATTCCTCTGATGGTTGAGGTGGTGGTTGGACATTACAGTTTTTAGTTTAGTTTTAAGTGGCTTCAACTGCAAGCAATTACGAGACTGCAATGGAACAACTCAGCTCGACCAACACTTCAAACAGAGACAGCTGTATGATTTTATGCCATGGTATGTATTTTTAAAAAAAATATATTGTAATTTAAGGGTTTAATCGGCCCGACACTCCTTCGATTCATCCTGACTTTCAAAACTGCACGGATCAGTGCTCTCTACTCATTGCTCAACCTTCCTTTATAGTTATGGCTTCCCTTTGGAGGGAAATAAAAGCTTTAACTAAACATTATGTTTCTATCTATCGATATTTATATCCATTATAACAAGGCGTGTATTCTCTACTCAGTGCTGTTGAGAATAGCTGTTTGTATTGTGTATAAAACTAGCTCATGCATTGTAATCAAGAATACCATATTCTTGTATTCATTTATGTGTTCTTATCTCCTTTCTAAAATGGTATCTTTCGCCATTGATCTTGGGGCTTTATGTTTGGCTTCCGTTGCTTGAGCAGTTCTTGATGGATTTCACCACGAGTTCTAAATCGTTTACCCACAAGAAAGTAAATGTTGTCCTTGACGAAATGAATTTTCTTCTTTGGAAGCAGCAGATTCTGCTCACCATAAGAAGTCATCGGTTGGAACGGTTGCTTACAGGAGCTGCAGTAACTCCGCCGGAGATAGTGGTTGATGATGATGGCACTATTCGTGTCAATGATGAATGTGAAGATTTTGTGGCTCAAGATAGTGCTCTTGTCTCCTGGTTGTTGCTTACGGTCAGTCCTTATCTCCCTCCTCAATTTGTTGGGGCTGAAACTGCAGCAGCTGTCTGGAATACAGTTCTTCATTTCTTTGCCAACCGTTCAACAACAACTGTTATGAGTCTTCATTACAAGCTTCAGTCCTTAATGAAAGGAGGTGATAGTATGCGAGCTTACCTTACTCGTGTGAAGGAGGTATGTGATGCTTTAGCCTCTTGTGGCAGTAATGTTCCTCAAGTTGAGAAAATCGCGAGCATTCTGAAAGGTCTTCCACGAGAATATCAACATTTCATGGCGATTATCACATCCATGAGGGAAACTCTGTCTTTAGATATCATCTCTACTATGCTAATTGATGCAGAAACACAACTTGCTAGTTTTGATGATCAACTAGAAGCTTTGCCTATGAGTGCAAATGTTGCATAGGGAGAGGTAAGAAACACTTCAACGGTGAATAAAAGTTCTTATCAGAGATCTGATTACTCTTATAATTCTCGAGCTGGTGGTAGAGGTCGTGGCAGATCTCGGGTTCAGTGCCAAATTTGTGGAAATGTTGGACACCTTGTTGATCGATGTTGGCATAGATATGATCAAGACTTCTCGTGTGTTACTTTTATTAATCGAGGGCAATACTAGTCAGAATACAAGACTACCTCTTCTCCTGGTAATTTTATAGTTTCATCCACTGATGGTGGATATGAGTGTTTTGTTAAGCGAAGGATTGGTTCAATTATGGATGATCAACCACAAGCTCATGTGGCTTCTATGCAATCTGAGCGTTGGGTGGTTGACACAGGAGTTACACACCATGTTACAACAAATGCTATTAAGGTGTTGAATCTTCTGAGTACTATGGTCCAGGTAAACTCTTAATTGGGAATGGTATGCCTCTTGATGTTACTTTGGTTGGAAATGCTAGTGTGAATGCTTCTTCACGTGTGCTTTTACTGAATGATTTGTTGCATGTGCCACAAATAACCAAGAATTTGCTTTAGGTTTATAAGTTTGCTAGGGATAATGATGTTTTCATTGAGTTTCATGACAATCGATGTTGTGTTCAGGATGAGGCTACTGGAAGGTTGCTACTTCAAGGTGAAGAAAGTGATGGTTTATATTCCTTTGCTATGAATAATAATTCCTTAAAAGTTCATGTTGCACAAGCCAATGCAAGCTTAGTATCGACTTCATTGGATGATCTATGGCACCGACGTCTTGGTCACCCAGCTGTTGATACTCTAACAAAATTAGCTAGTGAACTAGGAGTTAAAGTTCATTCCAATGTAAATAAATAGTGTATTCCATGTCATTTGGGCAAAAGCCACAAATTGCCCTTTAGTGAATCAAATACAATAGTAGCTTCTTCATTTGATCTTGTATACTCAGATTTATAGGGACCACCACATGTGTCTTCAAATGGATTTCGTTTTTACATTTCATTTGTGGATGAATTTACTCTCCATACTTGGATCTATCTTTTGAAACACAAGGATAAGGCGTTGTTTGCATTTCAACTATTTTGGAAACTCGCAGCTAACCAATTTGGGAGTACTATCAAAGCATTACAAACAGACTGGGGTGGTGAATTTCGTAGCATTTCACCATTGTTGGCTCAAGATGGGATTGTGCACAAACTAACATGTCCTCACACTTCTGAACAGAATGATGTGGTAGAGAGAAAGTATCGTCATATTATTGAACTCGCACTAATTATGTTACCTCAGGCATCTTTACCAATCAAGTATTGGTCATATGCAGTTATCTCTACAGTGTATCTACTCAACCGTCTGCCTACTAAAGTTCTACAAGATGTGTCACCATTTGAAAAACTCTTTAGAAAAAACCTGAATATTCCATGATAAAGGTTTTTGGTTGTCAATGCTTTCCTCACTTAAGAGTGTTCCAAAAGTATAAATTGTCCTTTAGATCTCAAGTTTGTACTTATCTGGGAGTTAGTCCTCAACACAAAGGGTTTCAATGTTTGGCACCTGATGGACGAGTATATGTTTCTCGACATGTTGTGTTTAATGAATATGTTTTTCCATTTGCAGTGAAAGAAACTTGTGACTCGTTGAGTTCTACAATCAATACCAGTTCGAATGCTCAGTTACTTCGAGTTGTTACAGATGTCAAGAACTCTTATTTTTCAGTCTCCACATAACGTACCAAATATAACTACTGTGCATAAGGTGGTTGATAATTCTACATCACCTGCTGTAAATGAGGTGGTTAATGGGGTTGTAATACCTAATGTGGTTGAGGTGGTCAATGGTGGCTCTTAGTATACTTCTGATGCTACTATCCAACACACCTTTAATGCTACTGTTTCAGAAGATATTGTACCTAATGAAACTGTTGGTACAAGTGCAGAAGCTAGTAGTGTGCTTGATGATGTTGATAGTATACGAGATAACATTCCTGCTACTTCTGAGCCTGATGTTAGTAATCCTCAAACTCATGTCCATCATATGATGACACGCAATCGATGTAGAATTTTCAAGCCTAAGGTGTTTTCGAGTGCTTTGGATGATGATGTTCCTATTATAATAGATGCTGCTCTTCAGCCTTCTCACTGGTCTGCAGCAGTTCATGATGAGTACAACGCCTTAATAAATAATGGAACATGGAGACTGGTTCGACTCCCTGAAGACAGGATGGTTGTTGGTTGCAAAAGGCTTTTTCGGGTTAAGCATAACCTTGATGGATCAGTAAATAGGTATAAAGCTTGCTTGGTTGCCAAAGGATTCTCTCAAATTCCATGTTATGATTTCAAGGATACGTTCATCCCTGTGGTTCGGTTTTCAACATTTAATATAGCAGTTTCTAATGGATGGGAGCTTTGACATGTTGATATTAATAATGCTTTTTTCAATGGAGATTTAAGTGAGAATGTATACATGCAAAAACCTCCTGGGTTTAAGCAGACTGATGAACTTGGCCAACCCCTTGTGTGTAAACTTCAAAAAGCTCTTTATGGTCTTCGACAGTCACCTCGCAATTGGCATGTTAAACTTAAGGAGAATCTGCTGCATATGGGATTTGCAGTATCTCGAGCATATTCTTCTTTATTTCTCAAGCGTATTGATGATGGCTACATCTATGTCCTCGTGTATGTATATGATATAGTCATTGCAGGACAATCTTCTACTGCTATACATGAGATTGTATCAATGTTAAAGGATCATTTTACATTAAAGGATCTCGGGGAGTTGAGCTTCTTCCTAGGGATTGAGGTCAAAAATGTTAATAACTCGATTACATTAAGTCAAAAAATATATATTCTGGAACTCTTAGAGAAGACTGGAATGTCAAATGCAGCAGGTTGTGCCACGCCAATAGTAGTATCTCTGAAACTCTCACGTGAAGAAGGTGAACTTATTCTGAATGTCAGTGAATCCAGAAGTATAGCTGGTTCTCTTTTGTTTGTTTGTCATACACGACCTGACATTTCATTTAGTGTGGAACAAGTTGCTCAACACATGCATGCACCACGAGAAGCTCATTTTGTTTCAGTAAAAAGAATACTTCGTTATTTATCCTCCACTCTTAACTTTGGACTTATTTTTTCACCTGCTGCTCATGGATTGAACATTGTTGCCTTTGCTGATGTGGATTGGGGTGCTAGCATCGATGATAGGCATTTTATCACTGGATACGGGGTATTCCTTGGCAAATGTCTTGTTACATGGTGCTCGAAAAAACAACGAACAGTCTCTCGATCCACAATGGAGGTCGAATACAAGAGTGTAGCAGATGCAGCTACTGATATAATGTGGATTAAATCACTTTTGTCTGACCTTGGCATTCAGCAGGTTCATGAGCCAGTTGTATGGTGTGACAACACCAGTGCTGTGGCCATGAGCGCAAATCCAGTCTACCATGCTCAATCTAAGCATGTTGACCTCGATGTCCATTTTGTGCGTGAGAAAGTTGTTGTTGTTCAACTATGCGTCGGTTACATTCCAGCTATGCATAAAATAGCTGATGAAATCACTAAGCCATTGGCCAGAACTGCATTTGAGGAGTTTCGATCTAAAATATGTGTTCATCAAGTCTAATCCAGAAGACTAGAAGAAATAGGTATGAGCAATGCAATCATGCCACGTTGGATGTGCCACGCTGGCAATGGTTGTTAAGAGATAGTTAGAAGTTTGTTAATTTGTTAGGGTTGGTTACTCTATTAGAGCTGTTGAGAATAGCTGCTTGTATTGTGTATAAAACTAGCTCATGCATTGTAATCAAGAATACCATATTCCTTTGTTCATTTCTATGTTCTTATCTCCTTTCTAAAAGCCTCTTAACTAGTAATTTCAACTTACTTGAAAAAGTACAAGACAACCTCCAACATGGTGCACACTTGACTCTTTTCTTTTGTTCAACCACATAACCAAGTCCTCGAGAACAGCTGCACCCCATGCAAAGCGACCAATATAAACCACATTTTTCAGAAAATGAAGGTAACGGGAATCCACTTTTCCATTTGCATTGGGAAAAAGAATAGTGCCAAATGTGAAGAGAATGAATGTCCTAACAAAGTCTTCGTTAACTAATTGTCCAAGTGAATCGAGTCTACTTTCAAGGGATGCAATTGTGATCTTTCCCTTCCATAAAGAAGCTCCATAATTAGTTTCAAGATTCGAAAAGGCTTGATCCTCCCTAAGCAGTATAGGATCACCAACCACATGAATCCCCAAAATTAAAGCAACGTCCATCAGAGGAATTTTGACAATACCAGGAAGTAACATAAAACCACGTTTCTCGGAATTCCATCTCTCCATCAATTCTACCAGCAAACTCTTGCTCAGCATCTGATTAGGTATCAAAAGCAAATTGCCAAAACCAACTTTCTTTATCGCAGTTCTTTGATCATCGGTGAGTTTGTCAACTCGCTTAACAAATGACGACAAGGAAAATCTTGTACTAAAACTCCCAGTCCGTACATTTATGGATAAGCAAGCCCTCAATTATAAACGGTTCCATATCAACAAGGGGGGGAAAAGAACACTAAGGGTGTGTTTGGTTGGGGGAATGTGAGATTCCTATGGGAATCGAATCCACATTCTCCCGTTTGGTTGGCCGGGAATGTCATTACCGGTAATCTTACATTATCAATAGTGGATTTTTGGGGTATATTACCGGGAATGTAATTACCTCCATTTCCTAAGGTATTGTGGGATTTCCGGTGTTTTGGACTAAAATGCCCTTAAAATTATTTTTTCTTTCAAAAAATATCCTTATTCTGTCATTGAATAATAAAAATTCTACGAAGGTTAAATTACAAATTTATCCTTAAACTATTTTAGATTTACAAAAAAAAATCTATAATTAAAATTTTATATGAAGTTCAGGGGTTAAAATAAAATTTTACCCTTTCATTAAACCTTTTAATATTTTCAATTTTGTAAAAAAAAATTATATATTTGTTTCCTCTTTTTAAATTTAGTCGGGTCTTACGTTTCTGTCTATATGCAGAGATTTTTTATGCAGGGATTTATTTGCAGGGATTACTTCCATTACAGATGCGTATATGAAGAAAGCATTTGAAGACTGTTCAATTATGTATTTATTTATTTATATATGCATTGTATTTTATCTTTATTTTTACTTTTTTGACTGTCGGATGTATTCCACGGAAGCTGCTTTCAACTTGGCGTTGGGGGCAGCCTACTACCGTACCTCCCCCTTACTCCATTACATATGTGAATAGGGTTTTGTTGTTGTTGTTGTTGTAAATTTTTTAAAGAAAATATATAAATATTTTTCAATTTGTTAAAAAAAATATATATAATAAGGACAATTTGGTCAAAAATACATTCCAATAATCTTTTATTCCTTTAACCAATCAAACACAAAATACAACATTCACAGTAATCTTATTCCCTGGTAATTTTTTATTCTCATTGGTAATCTTACATTCCGTGAACCAAACGCACCTTAAGGGAAGTCAAACATAAAAGCCTCATTTAAATTCTTGTTCAAATATTAATAGTAATTTTCTTTATCATTAAATCATGTAAATATATTTATATAAAATACTTAGAGAAAAGAAAATAAAGTGTATATAATCTATATTAATATAGAACAAACAGATATATTTAATAATAAAAGTAGGTAAAAGATGGTATCATATAGTCGCATAAAGCGACCTAGTACACAACGAACAACGTTACAAGAGTAACTGAGATTACTTCCACTAAAAGTACTATCCCTATGGATTTTTAACATCCATTTTTATTATGTAGCTTTCATGAGCTGAGGAACTTCCATGGCCAAACTTTCACTTGACGCTGCAAACGGGACAATAAAAATAAAACATTCATCAGTTAAAAAATTGATAATGGTAGCTTTCAAAGCACACCGAGTAAATCAAGTGTGTTCCCATTTGATTATTTCTTTCCTTCTTTTATTGTTTTGAGCAATGGTTGACATGTGGGGTATTTAACAGTATCTTCATTTTATTAATAAAAAAAAACAATATCTTCAATTTAGGGTTAAGACCAAAATAGGGAATGAAGAGGAGGATATGGACAGAGGTTAAATGAACAAATGTATTTGAGTGAGGATATTAAATCGCATAAAAGCAGTCAGACTATAAGAGCAAAGGTCCGGAAAAATAAAAGATATGTTTCTTTACAATGCATTCAAGACAGTTTTGTTAACAAACCAAGGAAGGGAAGAAATAACCATGCAAAGAAAAATAAGAAGAAGATAGAGTACGAGGAAGACTGGACTGAACTAGAAGGAAGGTCTCTATCAGATTCCGATCTGCAAGATAGATGGCAAAGACAAAAGTTGGAAGCAAAGAAAACTTTGTAGATTGGAAGAGTGTTGGGGATAGAGTTTCATAGTCCAGAAGAGGTTTTAGTTAGGGAAATTATAGTAGCGGAGGAATCGGAAGGCATATCCCAATCGTTATCAATGCTTTTTAATTGAAATTAGAGGGGGAAGTTTCTGGGATGAAGAATCTATCCTGGAATATAAGAGGTATGGGTTCGGCAGTTAATTTTTCTGTACTTAGGTCATCTCCAATGCTTATATCTATTTTAGCGCATCTCTATCTCTACTATAGAGATGAAACAATAATTCATCTCCAGCGCTATCTCTACATTACCGCTATCTCTACTTTATTCATAATATTTAACTATTATAATATTGATTTTGCAAATATAAAATAAAACATATACATTTCTAATAAATATCTATTTGAATTTAAAAAAACAGAAAAATACAAAAAATCAGAAAATTTACAAAAAATATTAGTATGTTTATTTATCTAATTTCAATTTATTTTTATCTATCTTGCAAATTAATCTACTTGAATTTAAAAAAATCAGAAAAATACAAAAAAATCAAAAAAATTAGTATGTTTATATAT